ACATACTGATTGTTAGATCACCCTAAGCTATATGAGACCCTCTCTCTCAAAAAAAAAAAAAAAAAATCATTAGAATATCATAATCAAAACATGTGCCTCAATTGGTGAATACTTGACTAACATGTTTGAAGCCCTGGGTTCAATATCTAGAACCACCCAGAGAGTAATAATTCAGGCTTGTAATCCCAGCTCTTAGGAGGTGGGGGGTCAAAAGTTCAATGTCATCATGCCTTGGGATACATATGACCCTGCCTCAATTAATTAATTAGAATAATAATAATAGACGAGTAACTGGAATGGCTCTCTATAACTTCCTTAATCTTTGTTTTATTACCAGTCATCTGACAGGACTTTTCCAAGTACTATTTACTTGTTTGTGGTACTGATTGTTATCCTTACCGTGTTGCTGTTCTGTCTTATCAGACTATAATTTTAGTTCATAAGGGCAAAAACTTTATTTTCAGTTTACAGCATTCAGCCATAAATTTGCCGAATAACCAGGAGGACAAACAGTTACTCTTCAACCTCCCTTGTTTCCCTTCATCAATACACAGTATGCATAGCCATCCTTTAAGGTCAGGGTCAAATTCTGTTGTCTCTGAACTACATCCTTGAACCTTCCAATTTCTTTTCTCCTTATACAGTGAATCTAGAAGCTGGTCCTTACTACTGTCTAAGAACTGTTTATTGCGTGCGTGCGCGCGCGCACACACACGCACCCTTAAAATTCTTTCAAGCTTTCATACCTTAAGAGTATAGACCTGTGTCCAAAACTTTTAGTATCCATGTAAATAGGATGCCTTACCCAGGGGCATGGTGGTGCACACCTTTAAGCCCAGCACTCTAGAGACAGAGACAGACAGATCTCTGAGTTTGACACCAGACAAAATTAAATAGTGAGTTCCAGGCTAGCCAGAGCTACAAAGTGAGACTCTGTTTCAAAAATAAATGAATAAATAAATAAAAGAAACAGTATGTCTTTAATGAATGTTTTTCTTGATTTGCATGTGAGTCAATTTGGAAATTTAGTTAATAACTTGAACATCTTTTATGATTTATCCCTCCCGAATCAAAATGCGCCATGAAACTATAACATGGGTCCTTCAACTTTAAACTTAACTTTGGGAAATAAGTTTTATGCTTACAGGCCAGCCTGGTCTACAGAGTGAGTTCCAGGACAGCCAGGACTACACAGAGAAACCATGTCTCGAAAAAAAAAAAAAAAAAAGTTTTATGCTTACATATAGTTATATAATCACAATAATCCATTGCCTGACCCCTAGATTGTGTTTTTATGTAAAAAAAAAAAAAATCCAAAAAACAGAAACCTGACTTTTTGGTAACAAGAGGCCTACATAATTAACTAATATTGATCAGGAAGGAGATGACAATCTGTTACTCTCTTCTTGTTGTTGAAGTACCAAGGGGTATTTTTCCACTTATACATCTTTTCTTTCATCCCAAGGTATCCTACCTATTTCCTCCTATACTGGTCATACCCCTGATATATATACAACACACACACACACACACACACACACACACTTGTCCTCAGTAATCTGCCTTAGATTCTTCATTTGAACAACTCTTATTTTTCTCCAGTCATGTATCTGATTAAATTTCTAACCTCCTATCGCAAGTCAGTGTAAGAGAAGGATCTCTTCTTCAAGTATAAGCCTGAGTCTCTACCCTCATCCAGCCCTCAGGACCCTCCTTCATAAAGCCAACCCCTTATCTATCTAAATGAGTGTATACAAACAACAAATTATTCACAACACAAGTAAATCAGGGGAAAATGACATCTGGCTTTGAAATATATGTAGCTTTGGGTAATATTTACTTTATGATTTTGCTTAAGATTAGTAAGATTTTTTCTTTTATGATGTGACCATCAGTCTCACTTTTAAAATCTGATACAGTTATTACTTTAAAGACAACCAAGCATCAAGTGTATTTTGTTCCCTATGAAGTCTTTTTAATGTGTTTAATCTGTTGAAATATGTTGAAAAACTCGTTTTCTGTTATGCTTGGTTATCTTCTGGGGGAGTTGGAAGCCAAAGTGAGATTTTCCTATATTAATCTACTTCTTCAAGTTATGGTATCTTCTGTATGAGAACTCGAGCTACTTAAAAACATTGGTATCCAATGAAATTATTAGTCCAGATAAGATACAAAAGAAAACTGTCTTTGTTAGAAATACCAGGAACACATGAGACTCTAGAATAAATTACACTGGTAAATTATATCTTAACAGGACTTTATGACTAGTTGAAAATAGAAAAGGCTTAACAATGAACAGTTATATAAACTTGTTTGTTTAAAATATTAAGCTCAGATAATTAAAATTCTATGAAATTCAATTTCCTAATTCACGAAGTTAGAGAAAAAACGGATATTTTAACTCCAACATCATTCCTGCTCTTCTCTTAACTCCAGCCAAACTTCCCTTCAACCTTCTCAGACCTCCTCTCTTTCTAGGTGGGCTCACACCTAGGACCTTACCAACCTCAGGCCAGAGCTACTCTTAAACTAGCTGACCTCTGCCTCCTCTCTCTTCCAGTCTACAAATGACTTTTCAATGTGTAAGAAAACAGGAGGGACAGGAATCGAGTTACCCGGATCTACCTCTTTGTCCCCTTTCTCAATTACTATAATTAAATCTCTGATCAGATAGACCAGGAACCCCCAATTTCATATTAGCATTTTAATTTTCTAGGTACTCAACTACATTCAACAAGCTGAATCAAGAGACAAGAACTTCCAAACTGAACAGAGTGATGGTTGGGGAGTGGGTAATTGTGTATTTCTGTTCCTGGCCCTGTACATTAAAACTTACCATCTGAAACGCTAAAGAAAATTCAGCACAATTTACGGATAAGTATCTCACTTAAGTTGCTGAGATACCAGAGAGTAAAATAAAACAAAAAATTGTAAAACCATTATCAACAGTTTATATTTTTTAAATATCAACTTGTTCACTACTTACTAAAATTCAAAATAAACTTATTTCTAATTTTCTCTCCATTTGGAACTCTGAAAAACACAAAGTATTGCACCTAAAAACTAATAATTCAAGCTGAAGTTTTGAATTTGTCCATAAGTTTGTAAATGTTAAGGAAATATCAACATCCCACAATGTCTTTAAACACAATAAATTCCATAGCTTTATTTTTAAAATAAAGACAAAACCCTTTTGCAGTGCCTAGTCACATTTTCACTAAAATACACAGAGCCACCAATACTTTAGTTTTCAATTTACTTCTCCAAGCTGCTGGTCTTCACCAAATAAAGAATTCTACAAATCTGAATTACAGCCTCCCAAAGTGTGCTCAATAATATATGTGATTGTCGAGTAATTAAAAAGAAATTATCTGAATTGTTAAGCTCTTTTTCCTCCTTCTTTTGAAATTTACCTTTAAAAGTCTTTTCTTTAAGGGAGATGAAAAAGAGTAGGTTTTTTGTGGAAGTAGTTGTTAACTGTAATGTACTATCAGCTCCACAAAGTGGCTAAAGAGGCTTTTCTCCCCTGATAATCAATTTCAGAGAGAAAGAGCGAGTAGGAGCGAACACATACCTGGTCATTTTCCCAGCAGGTTCGATTGGTTTGATTCACTTGTAAGAGCAGAGTATTTACTTACAAACTTTAAAAGCAAAGTGGCACCCAGCGCACTGTGTAAATAAAAACTTCAGAGGTTTAAAAACCCTCATCTTAACTCACTTCCCCTTGGTTCAAGGGGACGGCACAGCCAACCCCACAGCAAATGAGATTATGCAACAGGTTTTTCCTCTCTAATCATGGGCTGATTAGAGGTGTGCGTTCTCCAAACAATCTGAGACACACGGGACTTCAAAACGCCAAGGATCTTTGCAACAGACACTGATGAAAAAGTTCTTTCGAATTTTGCAGTAGCCATTCATTTTAGGCTCTCCTTGTACTTTCCCCAAGTTTATTATCAGCTTTCTGGAGGAAAGAACCCATCGCCCGCTCTTAAAAAGTTTGCATACATGTCCTCCTCAGGGTTTTTTTTTTTTTCCTCACGTGAAACTACACGACACACACAGATCGTCCGTTGTTTCCCCGTTTTAATTTCTCACATTTTACAGCTACTGTAAATAAAGAAGTCACCGACGGACCGCTTTCCCCCCAGCACCATGACGGGAGCCTCGGAAAGTTGAGGTCTGGAGTGGGTTTTTTTTCTGGGGGGGATGAGTTTGAGGAAGCGACACGGTCGCTCCCCAGGTGGCCTCGCTGCCTGCACACAAGGTGAGCTCAGGATAATGGAAACCGTCAGGCCGGGGCCCCACTTGGCAGGCGCGTTGTGTAACAGTCTGGAAGTGAGCAGCTTCGCCCGCCCAGGTGCCGCGACCCGCCGCCCGGAGCTCGCTCGCCCGCTCGCCTCCGCGAGGCCGGGGCGCCCCCGCGGCTCGGGCCGACCC